GGAAGGAAGGAAGGAAGGAAAGAGAGAATGGAAGGAAAGAAGAAAGGAAATGCAGATGGCCGATAATGGGGGCGGGGGGGGGGGGCACTCAACCTCACTAGTAACAAAAGAAATGCTAGTTAAAACAAAAATACCCTTTTCTGCTTATCAGATGGAGAAAGGTTTGAAAACCTGGTCATAGCTAGAATTTTGAATTTGTGAGGAAATCTACATACTACTGGCTGATGTACAAGTTGACAGTGTTTCTGGAGGGCAGTTAATATAGTTTTGCAAAAGTGTTGACTTTTTGCCAGCTCTTTGACCCAGCAATTTTACTTTTTGGAATTTATCCCAAGACTGTGCAGAGTTTTAGCTACAAGGATATTCAGTTCCACAATGTTTATAGCAGTAAAAAATTTTGTGATAAGATTATCCAATTTTATGATATATCGATAAAAATCTTGTAAGGAAAAGTCAAAGTGGCATAATATTTGCAATATACTGGTAATTGTGAAACGCAGTTTACACAGCAAGTATGTAGAAAATTATTCCAGTGTTTTAAAGGTTATACATATATACAAAAAAAGGATGGAGGGGTACATAGCACAGTGTTGGTAATGGTTCCCTCCGTCAGTGATGTTGCGAATTATTTTCTTCCTTTTACTTGTTTGCATTATCCAGATTTTTATCACTCGTTTGTGTAACTTTTGCAGAAGAAAAAAGCATAAAAGTTAATTTTGAAAGAAGAGAGAAGCATCTGGGTCTAATACTTTACAATCCCCCAGAGTAGGAAGCAGAAGTCTCCACAAAAGAAACAAAAAATTCGGGAGCATTTTTCTAGGAAAGATTTAGACATTGAACACTGGCCATTCCCACAGACTGGAGAATCCAAGAAGACGGGTGGAACAGTGTGGAGACAGGCACATGCAGAGAGTAAGATTTCTTTTTTAAAATGGCCGCTTAAAAAATAAACCGTTATGAAGGAAGAAGTTTATACTCACTGATTCCTAGAAACGGGAGGCAAGGCACACAATAAGGGGCCACACGGGGAAGCGCCAGGGTTGGTCACAGGCAGAGGGAGTGAGGGGAAACTGTGGGTAAGAACCTTTCTTGTGACTGTCACAGGAAGGAATGGGTGAGGCCTATGAAGCAGGCTAAGCAGGTTTAGGGTTGGCTGGTCAAATGATTTCAGCTCACTCAGGGGCCGAGGGGCTGTCTCAAGTTGTCTGGTACCTGGCCCTGGGGTGATTAGGGCAGAGGCAGAGTGGCCCAGAGTATGAGATTTTTGTAAGGAGGTAGTTGAGAGGACAGGGCTCTGGATTGGTGGGTTTGCATATGAAAACTACACTTGTGAGTTCTTTATCATCTCAAGGCGTTAACTAACCCTGGGAAGGTTAATTGTGTAAAGCACAAACAAAATGCTATTTTAAAGGAAATCAGAAAAGACATGCATTCTGATTAGAGGAAGAATTTCCTCTGCTCTCCAAGGCCTTTCTAGCTGGGCTGAGAGTCATAGTGACACAAGACAGATTAACAGGAGAAAAATCAGATTTAATTTCATACATATAGGGAATCTACACAGACATGGAAACTCCAAAGACAGTCAGGCAAAATGAGGTACATATGTCATCCTGAACTAAAGAAAGGAGGTAGGGGTCTGGAACTTCAAAGGAAGGAATGCAATTCACAGGAAGATGAAAAAATAAATGTTTGATAAACAAATGCTGGGGAGGGGGGCCACTCAGGCCCCTCAGAAACAGTGCGACCACAGGACTTGGATCAAACAGGCCTTGCCAGCTTCCTCCCTGTCTACCACACCCGGCTCGCATCGTAATGTAGTTCTCTATGGTGGCAGCTCTCTTCCTGGAGCAGGTCCTCTATCCAAATTCTTTTTAGGCAGTTGAGGGGGAGGTGAAGAGCTTTTCCTGAGTCTGCTGCGTTTTGATTGCTTTTAACTCAAAATAATCTTCATGCTAGAGTGGCCCGTCTCAGAGCGGCCCACCTTTAGCCCCTACAGGAGCACCTGGGAAGGTGTTCTTGAAGAATGGGCGGGCTTGTGACATACACTATTCGGAGGGAAGCGGAGAGGGAGGGGCCAGGGGCACACTGATCCAGGTGTAAAGCTTCTGCCGAGTAGAGGCTGATGTGATTGGACAGGTGACATGTGCAACTCCAGTGAAGCCCTTAATCCTCCCTGGTTCTTGAGTTTCTCCCTTGTAGAAGAATCACGATCCCTGCCTTCTTCACACCAGGCCTCGACGTTTTAGTGAGGCATAGCTGATCAAGCCTGTGGGGGCAAGTGTGCTCTGATGGGAATGGAGTGTGACCAGGGGAGGTGAGGATGCTTCCCTTCAGAGCCACACTGCTCATGTGCCAGGCTGGGCCTGAAAGGGGGGCTATTGCAGGAACCCCCGTGACTTTATGGCCTTGCTCGTGAGTCACATGATGACGATGGGTGGATCTCCAGTGAAACTGGGGGGCCTTCCACAGTCCTCGGGCCTGACCAGCCCCCAAGCACTGGCATCTTTGCCCCGAGCCCACTACGGGGGACTGGGCACTGCCTGGCCATGCTGACAGTTCTGGGCCATTATCTGGTCCTTCCTCGATGGTGAGGTGCCATGATGTACTGAATACGATTAACCTAACCCTTTGTACATGGTTAAAATAGAAAGTACTTTACTTTTAGCTTCCACCTGCTGGTCCCGGTTTTGCTTCTGGGGCCCCACATCCCAAGACTGCTTCCTCTCCTGGGAAACACCTACAGTCCTTTTAAGTTAGTATTCCCTCTCTCTGGACTATGGAAGGACCAGGACACATGACCTAAGTACTTATCTCTTGCTATAATCCTCACTGTGGAATTCTTAGTGGTAGTCTCCACCTGGGTATGGTGACCACAGTCTTAAGAATTTAAATTTTTCATTTAGGAAATGCTCCAGTAGCCCTTATGATGTGCCATTCATTCAATCTTCATGACACTTCTGTGAGCTAGATAGTATTATCCCCATGTTATAGATAGGAAACACAGAGAGGCACAGAGAAGTTAAGTATTTGCCTGAGGTTGCACAGAAGATAAGAATCAGAATGAGGATTCAAACCCAAGCTGTCTAGCTCTAGAGTCTGTGCGCGCCCCCCCCCAACTCTGCTGTCCGGTCCTCCCTTGCCTGAGGACAGGCCACTCAGCCCCTCTCCTGTTCGCCACAAACAGCTTTATGCCTATGCCTCCCCTCTGTGCTAAGAGCAGACTGCTCTCAGCCCCCTGCACCCCTCAGGGACAGACGCTGTGAAAAGGGACGGAACTGTCCCCAGGCCATCACTGGCATCGGGACCGTCTGAGGCTGCTGCTTGCAGAAACCACAGCTCAGCTAAGGACAGGCCCTGCATGAGGGCTTTTTAAGGAGACTTTGCCACTGACCTCCGCATTCAGCAGCCTCGCCCGTCGTGCGGTCCCGAGCACACGGTGTAATGAGGTCAGGGTGTGGGTGGGCAGCATGCTGGTGTGTCTGAGGGCCTGGAGCCTGAGAGCAGAGCCCTAGCTAGGAGTGTGCAGAGAGAAGAGCAGCCCGTGTTAGTCAAACGTGGTGTTCTTCCTGTGGTGCTCTGTGCCCCCGGAAGAGGCTGTTTCTGTCCGGGTCAGCTAACGTCCCAAAAGAAGGAGGACACCACACACAGGAATGCCCAGAGAGTGCACACGGGACTCCTTCCATGCAGTGCTCTCAAGCTCCATACCTCACCAGTGGCTCAGTCCCTGGAACCAGATCACCTTCTCATTCAATAAACATGTCCGTGAACCTGTAATGTTTACTCTGGAGCAGCCAAAGAATGAGCTTCAAGTCCTGCCCTTGAGAAGTTTGTAACCTACCTGGGGACATGGAGGTGTCTAGAAAGGTTGAGAAGCATGTCTAGATGATGAGCCCACCTGGGAAGGAGAGAACCCCGGAGGCCACTTCCGTAGGGATATGGCATGACGGAGGCGGGAACGGGCCTGGGCCCTGGGGAACCAGCTGTACAGAGGTGGGCAGGAAGACGGAGAATGTGCTGGATGCCTTCAGCTTGCCCTTTCCACCTGATGCCCTCCCTCCCCACCATTCCCTGTGCCCCAGGAGGCCTATCCATACAGGCTTGGCTTTGGGCGGCAGGGTGGGCTTGCCCAGTAGGAGACAACCGGAAAGAGAGCAAGGAGACCAGGAGAGAGGGAGAGAGGTCAGGTATTTTTTCCTCCTACTCCTGTGGCTGTGGTTTGGCCTTAAGACCCTTCCCTGAAGCCACAGCTCCAAACAGGCTTGGCTGTGCTCTCTGACACTGGCCACCACTCCCTCCCAGCCCCTCAAGCTGGCGTGGGAACAGCTCTCCTGTGGTGCCAGCCCCGGGTATCATGCTGTCTTTCCTTCGTTCCCCTGAACTCTGCTCACATCTCTGCAGATAGGCTTTTTAAGAACTCTGCTCAAGGGGCGCCTGGGGGGCTCAGTTGGTTCAGTGTCTGCCTTCGGCTCAGGTCATGATCCCAGGGTCCTGGGATTGAGCCCCGCGTCGGGCTCCCTGCTCAGCGGGGAACCTGCTTCTCCCTCTCCCTCTACTGCTCCCCCTGCTTGTGCTCACTCTCTCTCTCTCTGTCAAATAAATAAATAAAATCTTAAAAAACAGAACTCTGCTCAAATGAAGTGTGAATGTGCCCTTGTGCCTGCCAGGAGCCCCACGAAGGAAAAGCATTTCAGAGCTAGGGAAAGGTGGGTGGGCAGAAGAGGTAGGGATTCACACACCTGTCGGCTGGAGTCTCAGGTGGGAGAAGAGAGGAGGTCGGGGTCCAGAAGGTGAAGAGCTTTAAATACTAAGTTGGACGTTTTGTAGACCCCCTGTCACCTGCATCCCTCCCTGTCTTCCAGGACGCTCCTGCCTGTCGCCCCTCACTGCCCAGGGACCCCTCGCTCAGGTCCTCCAGCCAGAGGCCGGGGATGGAGATGCGTGGAGGCTGGCGCCTCGGAGGCTGTCTGGCCCTGCTCTCGCTGCTGCCGTCTCTGGGCCTGGCTCAGTACGAGGGCTGGCCCCACTACCCCGAGTACTTCCAGCAGCCGGCCCCCGAGTACTCCCAGCCCCAGGTGCCGCCAGACGTGGTGAAGATCCAGCTGCGCCTGGCCGGCCAGAAGCGAAAGCACAGCGAGGGCCGGGTGGAGGTGTACTACAACGGCCAGTGGGGCACCGTGTGTGACGATGACTTCTCCATCCACGCGGCCCACGTCGTCTGCCGGGAGCTGGGATATGTGGAGGCCAAGGCCTGGACCGCGAGCTCCTCCTACGGCAAGGGGGAAGGTAAAGGCTCTGTGCTCTGGAACCGAGTGCTAGTGTCTCTGGAAACCCCAGCAGGAGCAGTCCTGCGCGCGGTTTGCCTGGTAAAGGAAGCTGCAGTTGCTGTCAAGTGTCAGGTCCCCATAATCCTGCCTCTGGAACAGCCTCCTGGGTCTGGGCAGGAAGGTGGGAACAGACGGGTGCTGGGAAGGGGGCCAGGGTCCAGCCGTCCCACTTTGCCCGGGTCTTTCCTGGTGTTAGCGCAGGAAGTCTTGCATCCTGGAAATGCCTCCTCCTGGCCCGAGCACACCGGTTGGTGACCCTCACTAACAGCTGAAGTCCGTCTCTACCCGGGGCCACATGCATCCTGCCTGGGGGCCGCGTGAGCCAGGGGATGGGGCGCCTTTCTTCCAGTCGCCCCCTCCTCAAACAGGTGCCTTTTGTTCTTTCGCACAAAGGCTCCCCATAGGCCAACGTTCCCTGACTCTCCCCAATGTGCTGTTCATGTAGCCTTCACACTGTTAACGCTAAGACGCTGTTCTGGGCTCATCCATGACAGGAACAGAGTTGCTCTGGGTTTTTCACTTTGGTTGGCCTACTCTTTTTTCCTTGTCGAGTTCAAATCAATATATGTAAAAAAAAAAAAAAAAAGATATTTTGGTAAAAGCTTTGAATGGAGTGGGGGGCAGGTGCTGGAGCCCAGAACCCTGAGCTCAGTCCTTGGGGGGGTGGTCGGGGAGCAATGCTAACCCGTAATATTGTGGGTTTAAGGTCTGGGCTAGAGTCTAGGACTCTAAATTTTGGAAGCCTCCCGAGTGATCGTATATGTAGCCAGGTTTGGGAGTCATTGATATAGATCATTATTATGGTCCCTTCTAACCCTTGGTTTCTGTTATTCTAGAAATTATAGGAAAAAGGGAGCTAATCTCATATGTATCTTACCTCCATGCAGTTGAATATGCTCTGTGGGATTAACCAGACCAAGAGACCACACTTAGAGTAAAATGTTCTCTGAAGCCTACTTGGGGGTCCCTAGCAGTGACGAGATTAAAGCCCCAAAGATGAGTTAGCAAATGCTGGGCTGATTTTTGTTTGTTTATTTGTTTTTTTGTTTTTTGTTTTTTGTTTTTTTGAGAGGGGGAGGCAGGGAGGGGCAGAGGGAGAGGAAGAGGGAGAATCCCAAGCAGCCTCTACACCCAGTGCGAAGCCCAACACAGGGCTCGATCCCACAACCCCGAGATCACGACCCAAGACGAAATAAAGAGTTGGACGCCCAACCGACTGAGCCACCCAGGCGCCCTGCACATGCTGGGCTTTTAAACCCACTTCCTGTGTTCTTTACAAAACTCTGGACTTGTCAGAACACCTGGGTGGCTTAATCGGTTAAGCATCTGACTCTTGATCTCAGCTCAAGTCTAGATCTCAGGTTGTGAGTTCAAACCCTGCGTTGAGCTCCACGCCCAGCATGGAGCCTGCTTTAAATGAAAAACAGAAACCTCTGGACATGTCTCCACACTTCTGCATCTCCATGTATTCTGCTGGCTGAGTGATCCAGAGGTAACATCTATCAGGTTTGTGTTTTCAATCCCAGGCTCTCAAGCCTAGGTATTTTATAACAAATACTTCCCAATGACTATGGGGTTTTTCCAGTGACCACTTTATTTTATTTCTACCCAGACTTAAAGTCTACCTATCATTAGATTAGATGGGTGTGGTTTTTTTCCCCATCCCAGTTCACCTGCATAAGTGTGGGCATGGGGTGGCCGGGGAGGTGGGCTAACCTGGCTCAGACTTTGCCATCCAAGGAGGATGACGGGAGAAGAGTTCAAGGGAGCAAAGGAGGTGTGCGAGGGAGCAATTGAAACCATGGTCCCTGGAGTCTGGGCTGGGTAAGTGGGACGGTACTCCGTGGGGGGGGGACTTGTGTGGAGGGCTGCTGGGGTCACAGTCAGGGTGGAGATTGCAATACAAGAAGGAGCATGCTAGAAACATTTTTGGGGATGGGTGGAGATGTGGATGCACAGCAGAAGGGTTGAAATGGACACTGGGGAGGGGTGTCACTGTCGGTAATGACGAGGCCTAAGCTACGATCGTGGGAGAGTGGCTGACATAGGGCCAGGGAAAGATGCTGCGGAGAGAAGCTATAGTAACAAGAGGCCAAAGAGTCCTGGAAGGGTCATCTGGGTGGATATTGAAACCAGCAGGACTTAGGGAAGGAGAAATATCAAAGACGAAGGGAGAAACAAATGCTAAAAAAAATTGTCTCCCGGACTTCGAGGATTATGTTGTCTATATAAAGTGATACTTGGTTTTTGCATCATGAGAGGTCTTTTAAATACAAAGGTATTTGAATTCTTCAGCATCAGGTTAGGATTCTTTTTTTTTTTTTTTTAAGATTTTATTTCTTTATTTGACAGAGAGAACGAGAGAGCACAAACAGGGGGGAACAGTAGAGGGAGAGGGAGAAGCAGGCTCCCCGCCAAGCAGGGAGCCCGATGTGGGGCTCAATCCCAGGACCCTGGGATCATGACCTGAGCCGAAGGCAGACGCTTAACCGACTGAGCCACCCAGGTGCCCCTCAGGTTAGGATTCTTAGCACTGAGTACATGTTAGGCAATAAGTAAGTATTAGCTGATTAATTCATTTTGATTGAGGAGAATACTGAAAATACCTGGCAGGCAGTCCTTGGCATAGGGACCAGAGACTGTGACCAGTGCCCTGGGCTGTGTGCCTGTGGAAGGAGTTTAACCTGCACGTCGGCTCCGTGCGTGCCCTGGGAACACCATAGCCAAGCACTTACTATATCACCTGTGCCCCTCACCTGCAGGCTGTAGTAATGAAACCCCAGGAGAGCACCCAGGCCTCCCAGGTTTTCCAGCCTGGACTGTCAAGAGTTCTTTTCCCCTAAAGTGTCTCTGAGCTCAGGGAACTCATGGACCCCTTCAGAGGGTTCTAGAGGGGACAGCTGCTCTATTTCTCACCCTCTGGATGGGTCTCACAGAAACCTGAGCCTGAGATGATTGCTCTCCTTTGCTTGTCTTCAGACCTCAGCTCAGATCTGATCCCTCCTCAGCACCCCCGCGCTGCCCCTCACCCCGCATTGTTCAGATCAGAGCGACAAAGCCAGCAGATGACCACTGTGGGGCCCCAGAGGTTCTAAGTTGAACAATTGTCCTGACAACTCAGGGAACACTCTGGCATTCAGAGTTTCATTTGTGATCTCTATCTTCCAAATGGTTTATGGATTGGTTTATACATTTCTCTTTTCGTCAGGAGAAGCATTTCTTTTTTTTTTTTTTAAAGATTTTATGTATTTATTTGAGAGAGAGAGAGAATGAGAGATAGAAAGCACGAGAGGGAAGAGGGTCAGAGGGAGAAGCAGACTCCCCGCTGAGCAGGAAGCCTGATGTGCGACTCGATCCTGGGACTCCAGGATCATGACCTGAGCCGAAGGCAGTCGCTTAACCAACTGAGCCACCCAGGCGCCCAGGAGAAGCATTTCTTAAGAGTGAATGAACAGACAGTAGATAGGAGGTTTGGCCTCTGATTGGCTGGCTTTTTGTGTCCAAAGTTAGAGCCGCATCTACAATCCAAGTGCCACTTTCCTAGTAGCTCTGAGATGGCGTCTACCGAACTGTGCCCGGGCCACCGTGCATCCCAGCAGGCAGAGCCAAAGCTGGCTGCTTTGCAATCAGAACATTCTAGATGATAGGACGCATACAGGGAAAAATATTGTCATGGAATGAAGCCAAATTAGTATATCGTGCCCGGTGATGCTATCTTGGGCTATGTAGAAATTTACACTTCCACCATCTATAAAAAAATACCTGGGGAGGGGGCATCTGGGTGGCTTATTCGGTTAAGCATCTGCCTTCGGCTCAGGTCATGATCCCCGGGGTCCTGGGATCGAACCCCACGTCAGGTTCCCTGCTCAGCAGGGAAGTCTACTTCTCCTTCTCCCTCTGCCCCTGCTCGTGTGCTCTCTCTCTCGCTCGCTCGCTCACTCTCTCCCTCAGATAAATAAAACCTTAAAAAAACAATTCCTAGTGAGAATCTGTCAAGAGTAGGATCATTGGCGGTGAGCTAAAGCTACTTAAGAAAACAGCTCTTTGGGGGTAGTTCCCTTGGCATCCAGGGAGCTGATTTCAAATGTTCCTTCTCAAAGAGTAAAGCAGGGCGGAGAGTTGTCTGCTTTGCAACTCCTCGTGGTTCCTTCAGCTGCACGCTGTCCTGCTTCCCCTCCCCTTAGCTGGGGTGGTTTCTCTCATTGCAGATGGAATAAAGGCCCTGCTTCTTTTCACCATCTCTGTCCCTTCAGCAGCTTTGCCACAGAATGTTCCAAAGAAGAGGCCCCGCTGCAAATGTGGAGGGTCTTTTCCGTTGCTAGTACTTAGTAAGACAAACATTGGTTTGTTGTCCAAGCAGCAATTGATTAGGGACCATATGTTTTTGAGGAGTTTGACGGCTGGGAAGCGAGGCCAAATTGAGAAACCGGTTGGAAACCCTCAGCCCAGATGTTTTCACTCAGCTTGTTGTTCCCCACAGTGCGTCTGAGGCGCTCTGGTTCGAGCCCTGACCAGCCATCCGTCACAGCAGACGCATCTCAGTAGGGCCCCAGAGTCAGGGACTAGCCCCACATCCTCCCTGACCTCGAAGAACCTCAGATTCTCCTTGGTTTTCTCGTCTCTACAATGGGAGTGTTTGTATCTGCGTTTTCCTTGCATGGCAAAAACAGCGGGATTCCCTGTTTTTCTGATGAGCTGGAAGGAGGAAGGGGAAGGGGCTTGAACATGTACTAGGCACATACATTATCTCATCGAATGTCCATGGTGACCTGTTTGTTGGGGATCCTTGTTTTCACCTTAGAAATGGGAAACAGACTTGGTTAAGTAGCTGGCCAAGTTACATGGTGCCCAGGCCCAAGGCAGAGAGTCTGAGCCCTGGTTATCTGGCTCCATTATCCTGTCAAGTCCTGCCTAGAGCCGTGAGCAAAAGGAGACATTTGATTTTGTTTCCTTTCATTTTGCAGGGGCACTTACAAACATAGTTTGAAAGCCCTTTGGCACTTTTTTTTTTTTTAGTATTTTATTTACTTTTTTGAGAAAGAGAACAAGCACGAGCCTGGGGGAGGGGCAGAGGGAGGGAAAGAAGCAGGCTCTCCACCGAGCAGGGAGCCCGATGCGGGGCTCAATCCCAGGGTCCTGGGATCATGACCTGAGCCGAAGGCAGATGCTTAACTGAGCTGCCCAGGCGCCCCACCCTTTAGCACTTTAAAAAAATTGATTTTTAATTGTGGTGAAATACACATAACATAAACTATGCCATCTTCACCATTTTTCAATGTGCTATTAGTAGTACAACCAATCTCCAGACCACATTTTATCTTGCAGAACTGAAACTCAATCCGCATTAAACAACCTCTCCTCATGCTCCCCCTCCCAGCCCCTGACAACCTCCATTCGACTTTCTATCTTTATGAATTTGACTACTCCAAGTACCTCATCTAAGCAGAATTATACAGTTTTTGTCATTTTGTGACTGGCTTATTTCACTGAGCACAATGTCCTGAAGGTTCACTCATGTTGAGCCTGTGTTAGAAAATTTCCTTCCTTTTTAAGACTGAGTAATAGTCTCAGGGTATGTGTATACCACAGTTTGTCAATGGACACTTGGGTTGCTTCCAACTTTTGGCTATTGTGAAGAATGCTATAATGCACGTGGGTGTGCAAATATCTCTTTGACAACCTGCTTTCAGTTTTTCTGGGTGTACACCCAGAAGTGGGGATTGCTGGATTGTATGGTAACCCCATTTTTATTTTATTATTTATTTATTTATTTATTTGAGAGAGAGAATGAGATAGAGCATGAGGGGGGGAGGGTCAGAGGGAGAAGCAGACTCCCTGCTGAGTAGGGAGCCCGATGCGGGACTCGATCCTGGGACTCCAGGATCATGACCTGAGCCGAAGGCAGTCGCTTAACCAACTGAGCCACTCAGGCACCCCACCCCATTTTTATTTTTTAAATATTTATTTATTGAAGTATAGTTGACACGCGTTAAATTAGTTTCAGGTGTACAACATTGTGATTCGAAAAGCCTGTACGTTATGCCGTGCTTACCACGAGTGTGGCTACCATCTGTCACTACACAACGCTATTACAATACCATCAACTCTATTCCCTGTGCTGGACCTTTTATGCCCATGACTTCTTCACTCCATTACCGGAAGCCTGTGTCTCCCATTTTTCATTTCTTGAGGAACCGCCATACTGTTTTCCATAGTGGCTGCACCATTTTACATTCCTGCCGACCATTAGTGCGCAAGGGCTCCAGTTTCTCTCAACTTTGTCAACACTTGGTATTTTCTGCCCTTTCAACAGTAGCCATTCTAATGGGTGTGAGGTGGCATCTCATTGTGACAAACCCTCTAGCACTTAGCACGCTGAATTTTCTACTGAGTGCAAATCAGGTGGAGACTCAGGAGGCGAGCAGAATTGCACAGGGCCTCCCAGCCCTGCCTTCACCTGACTTCTGGAACATGAGGGGGCGACTCTGCGGGTTAGCATAGCAGGGCCATCTCTGAATCAGTGGCTGGGAAACATCAGGAAGAGAGAAGAGCACTGAATGGACCAGGCTCTGGGCTCCAGGGGTGGCCTTGCAGGATGAGCTGCCCTCTGAGCCAGAGCTGTGTGTTTGGGAAGTGGGAATGACTATCCCTGAGGTGTGGGGAGGCCAGGGGAGGTGATACATATGAAAAATGGCTTAAAAACTCCAAACCCTGGGTTGCAGAATAGCTTACATTTTCCTTGAGGGGTCAGAGTTCAGCCTCTGCTGCAGATGGAAGGTGAGTCTGGCCTGCGGCAATGTCAGTCTAAAATTGCCATCGTCATCATTGTTACCTTGTTTGAGTAATGATGGGCCAACTACAAACAGGCACGTGCCATGTATTATCTCTAATCTGTGCACAGCCCTGCAGTTGAGGTGTCTGACATGAAAGAGGGGCTTTGACCAAGGTCATATGGCTAAGTGGCTCTGTCAGAATGAAACCCAGCTGAGTATCCAAAATCTCTGCCTGTTCTACTAACCACGTGACATCTGGGCTCAAATCTGGTTTCTGTCCAAATCACATTCAATCTAGCACATCCCCAAATCATGTCAGCTGCCTACTCTGGAAAGGGAACCCAGATGCCCTAGAGTGATATCCAGTCTCTCGAACATACTAAAAATCAATTGATGACCACAATAACTGCCAAAATTAGAGAAGTCTCTCTCTATGGATGACATTGGCGTGCCCAAAGACTCAAGCCAACTTTGACGCAGCGCTTGGTGTCTCTCTTCTCTGCTTCCTTCAGGGCCCATCTGGTTGGACAATATCTACTGCACGGGCAAGGAGGCCACCCTCGCGGCCTGCTCCTCCAATGGCTGGGGCGTCACCGACTGCAAGCACACCGAAGACGTGGGTGTGGTGTGCAGTGACAAAAGGATTCCTGGTTTCAAATTCGACAATTCGTTGGTCAACCACATAGAGGCAAGTCCTGTGCTCTTGATGACTCCCACAATGAATATTTTCCTTCTTGCATGTAACTCAGTTCTCACCTACTGCTTCCAAGAAGAGTGTGTGAATGCTAACGAGGGGACCCAAGTCAACCTGATTTGGGGCAGGGGGGCTGAGGGGAGGATTTCTGGAGAAGGGGAGACCACCAGTGGGGAAAGGGCATTCATTCCAGACACAAAGAATGGCTTGGGTGAAGGCATAGAGGCCCCGAGGCATGAACGGGGTAAGTAAATCAGTACTGCCCAAGACTACAAGGTGAATGTGGGAGTAATGTGAAAGGAAGCTACAGAGGGTGGGCACAAAAGCCCCTCTGTGCTCTGCCCAGGAGCTTGTGGTTTGGGCTGGAAAAATGTACTAGTTATCAATTGCCGTGTAACAAATTACCCCCCAAATTTTGCAGCTTCAAACAATAGCCTTTGTGATGTCACTTAGTTTCTGAGGGTCGGGAGTCCAGGAGTAACTTAGCTGGTTGACTGTGATCACATTCTTTCATGAGGTCACCTGGGGCTGGGGGCCCTGTCCCAAGCTGACTCATGCGGCTGTTGGTCAGCTTTAGTTCCTGGCCGTCATCTGGAGCCCTCTGGTCCTCTGCACACAAGCTCTCTATAGCCTGCCTGAGTGTCCTTAAGACATGGTTGTCCTTCTCCAGAGTGAGTGACTCAAGAGAGAGAAAGGGAGCAAAACATGGAGGCCACAGCCTTTCATAACCCAATCTTGGAAGCGATAGACCATCGTTTCTGTTATATTCTGTTGGTCACATAGACCAACCATATACAGTGTGGGAGGAGATTACCCAAGGGTGTGAATGCAGAAGGTGGAGACCATCGGGGGCCATCTCGGAGGCTGGCTATCAAAGGACCATTGTTTCCAAATCTAGCTGGGGATCAGAATCACTTTTAAAACGCACATACTAGGGCCTCACCCCAGACCTCCTGAATCAGAATTACCCCCAGGGGACCAGACTAGTTTTGAAAGTGCTCTCAGATGATTCTCATGTTGCCAGCCTGACCCAAGTCAGCATTTGGAAATGGCCAAAGGGCTTGTGACCCTTCTACATTTATGGCTACGTTTCAGAGTTAGCTTTTCAATAAGTTCTCCACCCAAACAACAAAATGAACAAACATTTATGGCACTGCTTTTACATACAAGATATGTGGGGCTTAGGGCAGGTGGAGTAGGCAGCCTCCTCAAGGACACGTTGGATGTCACCTCCAAGGCACTGTGAGATCTGCCATGAAGCCAAGCCAAAAGCCTTCACTGTGCTTTAGCCCCCAGCTGACCTCAGAACCAGTGCTGAAGAAAGGCAACTTGAAATTGCCCTATTTGGGCTCCAGAGGAAGTTCTCCCCAGACTGTGGTCTTTACATTTTCCTCTCATGACTCACACTGTCTCACTCTTTTCTCAGATGTTCCTAGAGCACACTGAGTGTGCTGGGAACTTGTCCAAGCCTGCATTATAGCAGGGAAAAGGATTTCCAGCTTTCTCTCAGCTGGCGGGATCAGACTGCTTCTAGCTGATAATCTTCAAATGCTGCTGTTTTATCTGGGAGAAGTAGAAGAGATTGTCAAAGAGCTAATGTGCATTAGTGTTCCAGTTATTGATGACAGCTTCGCTTTACAGTAAAGTCTGTGATTTGGAGGATGGGCTTGTCCTGCCCCGTTTCACACGTTCCCTCTCTGCTCCTTATGACCTCATACGGGATCATTAGCACCCACTTTCTAATGAGATTGGAAGCTCCTGGGGGGGTAGGGGTTTATCTAATTCACCATTGTATCCAGTAGAAATAGTGCTAGGTACCTGATAGGAACAGTGTCTCCAACCCCTAAATTTTCTTCTCAGGAATGCATACCACAGATCGTCATCCCCATAGGTGAAGAATCCCCCAGGATCAAATATCAAATTCAACAGTGATAAGAGGCACATAGAAGCAAATCATTCCTTTACAGCATCGCCCTGCTTAATAGAAAAATGAGCTTATTTGTAACATCTTTAATGGGCCTCTGTTCAGCCTAGAACCTCAGGATAATACAGTTGGATTGTCAAGTGAAGATCCAGGCTTCCGGGCATAAGAAAGTCATTGGTGGTTTGAATAAAAAGAAGGTGGACCACCATGTCAGTGGGTTTTTGGGGATGGGAGAATGAAAAGACCTCATCTACCATTAGAAAAAATGATTCTGGAAAAAGAGAGTGGCACTTTAGCAGAAAAGTGTTTATTGAATCTGGCTCCTAGAAAAAGCAGACCCTTGATTGGGTAGAATAGGCAGAGAAATGACCCCCCCAAAATATAGTAAGAAGTGCGTTCTTATTCTGGAAGTGCTAAGAGTCCACCATAAAAGCTTAGTACCTGTCTTTATTCTGGACATTTGTTGGGTGCCTGCTGTACACACAGCATGGTCCACCATTAGGGAAAGAAAACACGGCCGTTATAACCTGAGAAGACAAGATGCATGCCTTTGGAAAGCTAGAGGATCATTCCAAGGCAAGGAGCTTAGACCCTAAATGAATTTACGGTAACCCAGCAAGGACTGCTGGGGTGGTGGGGGGTGAGGGGTTTGAAGGGTGGGATGACTCCCACCACCTTCCACACTTTGCAGCTTCCTAGAGGGCCTCCCTCTTGCTGTCATGTAGTCAGAGTGGTTACCATGAGCCACACTGGGAGCGTTCTTGTCCAGCCACAGACACAGGAAACTTTGAACTGATGAGCGGTCCCCTGGAACCTCTTCCCTTTGGTGTCAGCTGAATGTAGGTCATGAAAGGGCCTACATCTCAGGATGTCTGAGGAGAAACTTTGGGAGCTGCCACTCCATCTAGGACTTTGTGGCTCAAGCTCATGCTTACTGGCAGAGCTGGCCTGATGGGTAGGGAGCCGCCCAGACCACCTACAGGGGATATTTGTGGGGTGTTGAGAAGTTTCTCCGAAATACTTCATGTAACAGCCTGTGTCGGTAGCTGAAGCCATGCAATCGTTCCTCTTGGCTACAGAAATGTCCTCTATTAGACGTTTGTGGTTGAGAGGAAGAGATGTAGACTGGTGGACATGCAGTTAGTGCAATGACTAATGGTACCTGGGAAGACTGCAGGTTAATCCATGAACACAGCCTATGGTCTCGAACCATAGTTCCTGGGGCCCAGCTCCTGCCTCTCTAACAGCAGACGTTCACATGGAGATTAAAATGGGCCCTGATAAAAGTTGTAGGGGACACAAAACTAGAAGGAATTGCTGGAATATAACATTATTGAACAAGATTCAGAAAAACCTCAGTAAGTTGAGATAATAGGCCCAAACCATAATATATTAGGGATGAATAGAAGGTCCTATATCAAGGTTCATGGAAAAAAAGAAAAAAATCAGCCATAGAGTGAAAGCCAGGGAAAGTGAATGAAAAGCACTGATTATATCTTTAAAATCCCTGAAGGGGATTAGTTGACTAAAAACTTTGTATAAGCCAAAGCTGTGATGTGGTGGTAAAAAAAAAAAGCAAAAACAAAAAAACCCCAAAACATGAATGTGCACTGATGCACTGATGGAAGAATTCTTCCCCTAAACTCTTTGTTTTTTAGATCAAGAACTGAGCGCAGGGTTCAGATCTGGGGCCATCTCTTAGCTAGGTCACCCAGAGAATGGACCAGCAGGATGGAGACAGGTCTGGAAACCATATCCTATGAGGAAATGAAGATATGGGGACAAGAAGAGAGAAGGGGAGCCATGTGGGTTCTCTAAATATCTGCAATGTTACCATGGAGAAGATGTGTGATTTATTCTAACCCAAAACCAAGATGGGTAAGAAGGTAATGGGACGGAGATTTTGGGACAGAGATTTCAGCTCCTTGTGGAAACTCTGTAACACTTAGGTCCGCCCCACAGTGCGAGTAGCACAGTGTTCACAGCAAGCTCCCGTCACAAGAGTCATTCAAGCAGGAACGGGATGACCTCCTGCCAGGAATGTGCAACCAGATTCCTTCCCTGGGAAGGAAGCAGGATGAGGTGATTGCCAAGTTCTAAGATCCCTCGTTACTCTGCATTTACGAAAATACCCCCAACCCATGCAGGGGGTGCCCATAGCTGGCTGTTGGCAGTGCACACCATTGTGTGAATCGGCATCTCTCTCTCTCATACAGGCACATGCGCACGCACACACACACACACGCATGCACGCACACGGGAGGGATGCCTGCTGGTGCGTGTGCTGTGTCCTCTGGCTCTCTCCCTGCCTCTTCTCTGGTCCCGCCCAACCTTAGCCTTGAAAGCAGGAGCAGACTTTTTGCCCTTATTCTTCCACATCCAAGTGTGAGCACTAAGACCCTCCCTCGACTTCCCCAATTTGGGGTCCATAAATTCAAAAGTGGCCAAGAGTGGAGTGTGATCAAAATGAGATGTCAGTTAATGCTTTCTCTGTGGCTTATAACCCCAGGTGCAAATGAGTGGCCTAATGAATGTGACGAGGACCCCTCCCCCACCCTCCCAGCCCATCTCTTCCCACCCTACTCTGAAGAGTATGGCCAGGATCTCTAACATCCATCCTCATTGACTCCTGGAGATTGGGGGCAGATCACAGACCATTCGAGGTGACCCTCATAGGCTTGTGCCTTCTCCGGAGCACACTGGAATTCCCTAAGCAGAGAGTGGAAGAAAACTGAGCATCGGTCTAGACCAAGTTCATCCCACTTTGGAATGCCAGAGGCATGAGTCACTAAGTCCTGGGGCCTGGCTGATGAATTTCACTCAATGAGCTAACTGTGCTTCCAGTGGACTCCTCCATCTGCTTGGGGCATCCCCGGGGGCTCTTTGACACGTCATGAAGTCCGTTCTAAAGAAGGGAAGCAGCACGTCTCCTTCATGTGAATGGCCCCACCAAGGGAGAGTTCACAGGTTTGGACCCTGAGCTACCTGTTGGCCAGCAGCCAGAACATTGGGCATGTCTATTCTCTTCATTAAGATGAGCTGGTTGAATTCTGTCCCTTCCAGCTAGGAC